ATGTTTGAAAGGGCCAGTAGTTCAGATGGCACATCCAATGTGATCTTAAACGTAGCCTATATAACACAAGTTTTTGTCATAAACAGTGATATCCAGACTAAATCTAACAGCTAGGTGATAAACTCAAGTTTTTAGAATAGCTAAAACAATAACCTTGCAAGCAGGTTCATCCCAACACGGAAAGCATCGCCTAGCATCAGCAGGCTCAAACTGTGTAACTGCCATATTCTTCTTCTCACCATGGAGCTCGTATTTACTAGATTTCCAAATTAATATCACTAGTTAGATAAATATCCTACTCTTTTTTCTTTTCCATCAAAAGTAACTATATAAGCATGAAATGAGTACCTTCTATAGAACCCTTTCATTTTGTCATTTAAGACTCCTTCAAATCCAATAGCCAAAACTCCGAGTCCCAGAGGAAGTGTCTCAGCAAAATCTAACACCAAAATCTCATCCTCCTCAACTAACTCTAGTTTCAACGCCTCGAATACCTGCTTAACAATCCGTTATATCGCATTTAGTTGACCAGACTTCGATCAAATAAAAAAATAAGAAATCTTACTTCGAACCCTAAAAAATAACCTAAGTGAAGTGCAAATGTAATGGAAAGCTGAGAAGCGATTGACTATCGATTTTGAAATAAAGAAAATGGAAAAAAAAGTTGTTGAGATCGAGGAAACCTTAGGGGAGTTATCAGAGGAGAAAGAGACAGATCCGAGGTTGATGGAGAGTTCGGCGGCATTGAGGACGATGAAGCGAGTGTCGGCGACGATGTCGAGTTCGACTGACACAAAGCCGGCGAATTTACAGGCGGAGAGATCAGGTTTCAGCCGAATATCGTAGCGTTTGGGGATCGCGAATTTCGGAAGACGAGGTTGTCCCTTGAATTGCTCCATTTTTTTGGGTAGATGAGTCCAGCGAATTAGCGATGAGAGTTGAGCTTAGAGTGGAATTAATGAGCGTAGAGAATAGATGTAGGGAATAATATAGCTTGCTCTGCAAGACCTAAGGTGAATAAAAAATAAAAAAATTAGAGAAGTACACAGATAAAATTTTTTATATATATATTAATGTGCCATTGTATTTGTATTTGATTGAAAAGATTAAAAAAATGAAAAAAAATAATTTTTATATGTTTTTTAAATAAAATTAAAAAATAAAATTTATTTTATTTTATCATTATAATTTTTTTATAAATTAAAATAAAAATCTAAATATAATGAATAATTTTATAATTTTTTAAGTTAAAATAACAAAATTTTTTTGAACTTTACCAATTTATTTAAGTTATATATTTTTATTGTACTTAAAATTAAAAGTAGTATTTTGATTTAAATTACTCAATAGGATCTAAGAATCAAAAAAGAATATAAAATTTACATCAGTGTAAATCAATCCCTAATCTTAAGCAATAATAAGAATAACAGACATAAACGCCAACAGCACCAAATAAAATATTGGAATATTAGGCTATTTTGGTTCCTGATGCAGTCGTTACAGCTCTCTTGGAATACAAGAGTCCTGGTAAGACCAAAGCTAATCGAAAGTAACAAATTGCATTTCTCTTCTCAATGGAACAACTAGCAAGATATGCAACTCTTATTTAGGTACGATCTATGATATTCAGCAATTCTGGAGTTCCTCTTATTAGAATTAATATTGCCTTTTACCACAAATGACCGTACTTTTATCCTCCAATGTTGGTTTCAGGTTGAAAGGAGCATTGACTGCTTCATTTCTTCTTGAATAGGAAAAGTGCAACCATCCATTCTTCTCCATTTTGTATCCAAAGAGTTCTGCAACAGAGATAAAGAATGCTTTCCAATAGAGAGTCCATTTGACAGCCTGATCCTTGCCATAGGTTGACTCCATTATTGGCTTAATGGAAGCCAAGTTTTGGTCCATTCTCTTGAGCTACTCTCCACTGCAATACAAAAATGTTCTCTGAGAATGCTCAAATTGTTAACAGGGAAAGAAATGGTTAAGCCTCACAGTTCATTATTTCTCTGGGAAGAATCAAGCTATTGTAAATTTGTAATGAATATTTATATTGGTGTTATAGAACAACTGCTCTCACTTAGTTTTCGCATAATGTTTTCCATTCAGAAGTCAATGATTGACAACAGAAGCGTCGTCCTGCATACAAATGGTGAACAAGAAGCCATCACTAGCTGAGTTAGCTCATGCAGAGGTCAAATATGCATATTCCTTCAGATGGTCAGGCATCATGAAACATACTTTTTTTTCTTTTTCTTTTTTTTTTCATTTATTAGCAGGAACCGGTATGACATCAAAATTCATGGCCATTAAATTTCAATTTTCAGAATTCATAGCCAATATGACATGTAAAAATGCTACAAGGTCTCAAGTGTGAGGTGCAGAACTTACCTGGAAATAAAGAAGCAAATTAGATGAAGGCATCGTACCTCCTGTTAAGAAGTTCTTAGTTATCCAGTCAGCTTCATTTATATCCTGGATAAAAACGTTTGAGAAAATGTTGTCACATCAGCTAAGATCCCTTATATTAAAAATAATTTTGTAAAAACAGTAGGATGCCTGATTATTGCATAAACCCATATCAGCAATATCAGTCAAGGTCACTTAGCAGAATCAGTATATATGCATGTCTCAAAGTGGTAAGCAAATGCTTTATGGCATAAATAATGAAAAAAAAGAAGACTATTCTGTTTCATCCACTTGGATATCTTCTTGAGAAGATCCTGATAGTTTTTCCTATGCTGCTGAAAGAAGACAATCAATTTTCCAGCTATCAACTTTAAACGTTCGTGTAGTAGCATTGACAACTAAATCATCTAACCTCAAAATTTTCAATTGAATATATCCCTTAATTTCAAATGTGCTTATGTCTGCAACAATGATCTCCACGTTCTCTAACTGATGATCCCTATAAAGGGTAACAAAAAGTTAGTTTCAAAACCAAAGTAGTTAGCATTGAGTAATACTTTCAATTATACATAGCAAGTAGCATTACCGGCACTGCTCTTCTATAAAAGCTCTCTGTGGTGGAATTGCAAATCCCTTTAACCCTGCAATTGGGATATTTCGGGGCAATGAATAAAGTGAGCCCCAACCACACCCCACATCAAGAACCGTGTGTCCATCTTTTAATCGATACCTCTCACAGTACAGTTCCATCACTGCTTCCTCAGCATCCTCCAAAGTTTTCATCCATCAGAGAAGTAACTACTACATCATTCCATACAAAACCATGTAAGCTAAAAAAAATAGTGCAGAAAATTGAACCCTTTCAACTTCATGAACATAAGAGAAAAAAAAACAACTGAATTTGAAATTCTTCCCAAGAACCAACTTGAAAAATGAGGTTGGCAGCTCGTAATATTAAGTTTTATGCTTTTCTGTCTTGACAGCTATAGGCATCTCCTTATAAAGCTGCAGCAAACAAAGTAAACGAAACAAAACTATATGAAATCAAATCATGGTAGGCCCAAAAATTTTTAAAAAAAAAAATTAACATCTAAGAAATGTACGTACAGTGAACGAATTGGAGGAGGTCAGAAAGTTGGAGTTCAGTGGAGGGTTTATAACTAGAGGCAAGAGCAACCGTGTTAACCTCCTTATAACAGCATCTGGCAGCAGGTTGCGCTCGAAGGAAGCCATCATAAACCGTATCATAACATAAGGCGTCTTCATCAGACCCTCCATTATCAAACGGTTTGCTTGATTGATCCTTCCTTGGAACTTTTCTTTCTGCTGAGAGTATAAGTGTTCGAATTATTTGTCGGGTGACATGGGTAGCATGTAGTTGCCTGTTTCCTGCTGGTTGATGTCTTAATGGGCGTCATCACATGGGGCTTTTGGGCTTTGTTTTGGACCCTCTTTTTAAATCCTGAATTGTATTTTTTTTTCATTTTTTATTGCAAAGAAAAAAAAAAGCAATAATAGTGCAGTGTGTGACATGTTAACGATATATGAAATTCTTAGTTTGAATTAATATATTTTAATTTTGATAATTTTAAATATAAAAAATTTAAAATACGTACAAAAAAATTATTGAAAGAAATTAATTATAGTGTGATTTATTAATTATATTTTTAATTTCAATAGAAAAATTTTAATGTTTATAGTCTCAACTAAAATAAATGTCACTTAAGTAATATTATCACTAAAATTTTAAATAAAGTTAAATTAAATCGACATATCACCAATCAAGCAATTTAATAGATCTATTGCAACATCTAAACAAACCCTAAACTTTAGTTAATTCCATAAATGCCATAATATTTTTTATTTATTGGCAAACTGATTTAGTTGAAAAAGAGTTAGGAACCGGCTATGTTGCATCATTTTGATCCCAAAAGGCCAAGTAGGATTTAATGGAGAATCGAGAATTTTACTTAATTCATAGAATTATTTTCAAAAGTAAATATAAAATTTTAATTTTGATATTTATAATTTTTTATAAAAAAATAAAAAATTATAAATATTAAAATTCAAATTCCGATGCCGCATTTTTCTTTTAATTCTTAAACCTCCTTTATTAACAAAACCCTGTTAATAAAAAATAAATGACATCAGTGATGACGCCCTAAAATTTCAAGGATGGTCTGTCGGTGGATTATGATAATCTCAATGGTTACGCTTATATATAATACACCTACCCAAATGAAAATCAAAATGGTTCATACTCAATAATCTGACGGCAAACGAACCCATTCCTCGGATTATACTTAAGTTTTAAATTCGTGCGATTTTAAGATTCAAGTATTTATTCTTTCGATATTTTAAATCAATTTTTTTGTCACAATTTATATTTTTATGAGGTATTATCAATTTTAATTTTTTTAATCTCATAATTTTATTTTATAAAAAATATCTCATAAAATAAAAATAATATAAATTTTTTTATATTTTAATAATTTTTTTATTATATTTGATGTGAAATTTAAGACTTCGAGATGACATTTTCGCTTGCCTCAGTTTCATCAACTAATTAAATTACAAGCTGTTCACACAAGACAAACATTATCGTTTTTCACCTTTTTTCCCGTGAAAATTTCCCGGGAAAAAAATAGAGAAAATAATAATAAAAAAAAACCATTACACGGTACCAAGAAAATCCCAACCAAACCAATAACTTGCTTTTATCGCTTTTCAATTTCCTTGAAAGGAGAGTTTATTATTCTTGATTGTTTTAGTCTTTCCGCTTGCCTGAGTTTAACCAACTGATCAAATTACAAGCTGTTCATACAAGACAAACATTATCATTTTTTACATTTTTCCCGTGAAAATTTCCGGGAAAATACAGAGAAAATAATTGGAAAAAAAAACCTTTACACGATCCCAAGAAAATCCCAACCCAACCAATAACTTGTTTTTATCGCTTTTCAATTTCCTTGAAAGGAGAGTTTATTATTCTTGATTGTTGCTCTTTTCTTCTAGTCAAAAGTTTAGTCACTGAAATCGATCAAGGTTTTGGTTTTACGGTTTCATCTGACAGAAACAAGGAATAAGATTTCAAGTAAGTAACTTTTAACCTACTTTGATTAATTCCTTTCTGGGTTTTCAATGATTTGTCTTGTAATTCATTGTTTTCTTCCTTTGTGGTGCATGACTTAACGATTGAAGTGGGTTGTTGAAGATATCTGGAGAAACTGAAATTGTTAAAGATATCTGTTGCACTTTATTAAGGTTTGTAACTGTCTTTGTGTAATGGTGAAAATGAACTCCAAGATAGAGCATGATAAGAATAATGGTGCTGGTGATTCTAACAATGGTCAGTTGTTGCGTGACATTGAGGAAATAAGTAAAGCTCTTTACTTGCATAAAACCTTATCGAAGGCTTTGATTTCCACATCCAATGCTAGATCTAAATCTGCTGGAAAAACCCATCCTTTGGAATCCAAATCGACTCAGAACTCAAGAAACCTTTATGATGATGTGATGCAGAAGGATAAGAAATCATCATCATTGTGGAATTGGAAGAAGCCCCTGAAAGCATTAACTCATATTAGGCATCATCGGTTTAATATTTGTTTTTTCCTCCATGTGCATTCTATTGAAGGCTTGCCTTCCTATTTAAATGAGTTTAGCTTATGTGTGCATTGGAAGAGGAAGGGTGAGGTATTGTCTACACGTGCAGCTAGGGTTGTCAATGGAATTGCTGAATTTGAAGAGACGTTAATGCATAAAGGTTGTGTGTATGGTAGTAGAAGTGGGCCTCATAATTCAGCAAAGTACGAAGTCAAGCTTTGCCTAATCTACGCTTCTGTTATTGGCGCTCTTGGGCATGATATAGGAGAACATTGGATTGATCTCACAAGGCTGTTACCGCTTACTTTGGAGGATTTAGAAGGGGAGAAAGGCTTAGGTAAATGGACAACAAGCTTTAAACTTTCTGGCAAGGCTAAGGGTGCTACTCTAAATGTCAGTTTCAGTTTCTTGGTAATTAGGGAAAATTTAGTTGAATCAAGTGGCAATATGAATGCATTGAATTCTATAAATCTAACAGAGAAGGGGTCAAGTGCAATGGGATACAGTGGAGGTCTTCATGCAAGCAAGGGGAATGTGATGCTTCAGCATGGTGGGATTGTTCCAAGTAACGTAAACCACGGGACTTATCTGTCACCTCTGTCTGTTGATATAAAGTTCAGTACTGAAGTGTTGCCAAATTTGGGACTGGAACTTTCCAATTCAATAAGTTTTTTATATCAGAAACTTAATGAAGGGAACTTACACAGTGTATCAGGCTTAGATAAATTGTTTGAACATGTGGAGCCACTCAAACCTAATTCTGAGTCTGCTAAAGGTGTAGATGAGTATGAAAACATTGAGTTTTTTGTTGTTGAACAGGGTGTAGAAATGTGTCAGAAATATCCGTCTAAACTTGAACAAAGTGCTATTCAGACTATTGATGACTCTGCCATTGAAACTATCAATGTGGATGAGATCCTTAAAGATTGTGACACAGATTTTGATGAGGAAGCAGAACATGTTTTAGATTTCCACAGCTCCAGTAGTTGCATGGAGGAGGTTGTGATAGATGACTGCATACAAGAAAGGAGTAATATATTTTCCAAACCATTGACTGTGCCAGAGTCGGAGTCAGCTTTTAATGACATGTTGATTACAGAATCATCAGTATCAGAATCTCCATCTGCTTTGGACGAGTTTATTGAGCATGACAAGTTTATGGAGATTAAATCACATTACAAGGCTAGCAAATTGACAAATAAATCACTAAGTTTAGATCTCGTTGCGGACACTGTGGCAAGTGATTTCTTAAAGATGCTGGAAATTGAACATGGTCCATTTAGCTTGAATTCTGACAGTGCTCTTGAATCTCCTAGAGAGCGTCTGTGGAGAGAGTTTGAAAATGAAGCCCTAGCTTCCGGTGACTTCATTCTAGATTTTGATGGAGGGGGAGTGGAGGAGGAAATTGGTTCCACCACTCCTGGTGCATGCTGTGGGGATAGTTCTGAAGATTTTTCTTTCTCTTCAGTTATTCTGCCCATCAAGGAGCAGAAGATGGAAAGTCTGTCACTGAAAAACAGAGGGAAGGTAAAAATGCTTGAAAACTTGGAGACTGAAGCTTTGATGCGTGAGTGGGGCTTAGATGAGAAGGCTTTTCAAATTTCTCCAAGTGTTCAAACTGATGGATTTGGTAGTCCGATTATGCTTTCACCAGAACGAGGTGAATTACCTCCACTAGGAGATGGTTTGGACATTTCATCCCTACAAAGGACGGAGGTGTTCTACGATCTATGACTCCCTCAGTTTTTAGAAATTGTAAAAATGTTGGCCACTTGGTCATGCAAGTATCTAGAGCAGCTGTATTTCCTGCAAGATTGGGTACTGATATCATGGAGATATTACAAACCTGGCTTTACTCGGAATTGAGAACCTGTCCTTAGAGGTTAACAAATTAATGCCTTTGGAGGATATTACTCGGAAAACATTGCAACAAATTGCACTGGTAGCCGAACCTAGAGCTGTTGTGCTAGAGGGGTATGTAATTATGTCAGTTGGATGAGTTTATGCATTAATCTCTCAATTTCTTTTTTTCTCTTTTATCCCTTTTTCGTTTCTTGATATGAATGTTTTATTAACTCAAAATTATTATTTGACAGGTGGGATGAGTTGCAGCTAGAATCATTATGTGAGCAGGACTCATTTGATCAGAGAAAGGAAGTTGGAGGATTTCAATTTTGCTGGACTTACGATTCTCTGAGCTCAGGCCTCATAGTTGGTGAGATGGGCCCAGGCTGTGTATCCCTAGAAAACCTTGTTCCATCAGCCATAATTAGGATAGAAGCCCTTGCATTAGAGGGTTTGAGAATTCAATGTGAAATGTCAGATGAGGACGTACCTTCAAGCGTAAGTCCTTTGCCCTCTAGCAACATTTCATTTATTACACGGAGGGATTCAAAATTTGGCAAGTTTCACAGTTTGGAGGGAGCATCAGGTTCACAATTTCTAGATTTCAGAGATGCTGTTGATTATGCTAATAGATTAATGGGCCTTTCTATAACTTTGGATGAGTGGTTACGGCTGGACTCTGGAATTATTGGTGATGGAGATCATATTAGTGAACAGAAGATCCAGATACTTGAGGCTTATCAAGCCAAGTGCATCGATTTGGTTAGTGGAATATCGACAAAACCTGTTAACTTGGGTAAAGCGTCTGGTAGGAAGCATGGGTTGTTGGGAAACAACTTTACGCTAGCTGTCATGGTGTTGCTTAGAGATCCCCTTCGAAACTATGAACCAGTTGGCAGTTCAATGATTGCTTTAATTCAAGTAGAGAGGGTTTCTGTCCCACCAGAGCAAGGAATCTATAGCACACTGCCAGAAGGAGATCTGGAAGAGAACCCTGAATCAGAGGCGGAGGAAAAAGAGGGTACTCGATTCTTCAAAATCGCAGAGCTCCATCTTGCAGGGTTAAATACTGAGCCCAATAAGTGGCATCTTTGGGGCACCAAAGCACAGCAACAGTCTGGGAGCCGCTGGTTGCTTGCTAGTGGCATGGCTAACTCGAATAATACTCCATTTTCAAAGTCGAAGGCAATTGTAAGATTCTACCCACGAGTGATGAGAAAGAAGGAGGCTGGGAATGTTCTCTGGAGTCTATCCTCTAATGTTTTTGAAGCAGGAACTACTTGGAAAGAATTGGCTGATTTGGGTCCACATTGTCGAAACCCTAATGTCGCCTTTTCAAATTAAGGTGTCAAATTTGTTTTAGATTGCAGTTTTTGACTACTTCCTAAGAGTATACCTTTAATTTGTAGGGTTAACAGTGTGTAGGCATTTTTTTATTCCTGTATGTGTTACCCAACTCTCTGCAGCTAAAGTTTTCTAGATTCTACAGCCCAATAGGTATCTATTTTGCAGTTGCATATCCATTTTACATGTAATCAGTTCATGTCAATTTGATAAATGAAGCATATAGCTAAACTTTTCTGCCTTTTCTACGCCTCTTGTTCTCTTGCTATGGTTTGTTTATGCAGTTATATGCTCACCACAGGTCTATAATAATATTGATGATTGTCTAATTAGAGATATAATATCAAGTGGTCAAAGAACAGATCCCGGAACCAGATCCAAAGAAAGCAAGAGGAGGTTGTAATTTTCTGGCCCAAGGTTTCTCTTTTATTCTTTTTGCGTCCTAATGTTGGATATCTGAGTATACACATCCCTTCCCTATCAAATTTCCAAATTTACCGTAGGATAGAAAGGTAGTGCAAATGATAGATATCCCTAGAGGCGCCTTTTATTGGGTTTTAGAATCGTCTGATATTCTAGAATATAACAAGGAAGCAGCTATATCTTTTAAAAGACATGCTAGGGCCAGGGTTATGCAGTGAAATTTTATTAAGTGCTCGTCAGCGGCAGCTATATCTCTTCGCTCCAGGAGTGTCCTGGCATTGATGGATGCTCACATTCTGTTCTTCAAAGTGGAAATGAAGATTTTCTTCCATAATTGTGGAAAAAAAAAAGGAACTAAATGAAGTTGCTAAGATAAACCATGGAGATTATGATACTTGCCCATGTTTAATCTTTCCCTTCCCCTCTGAATTTAGTTTTGAGAACTGCCTCTATCAAAGATGGATTCTATTCTTCAAGTGTTCAGCAACAGGCAGTTTTGACTTTTAATGCAATTAGATACATGGAATCATCCACACCTCTGAAGGTATTACTAAAATGGGTTAGCAGACTTGATTGTGACAATTAATTCAATTGGTTTAGCGAAAATGTTTGTGTCACGACCCGCGCATGCACAACCGAGGCCGAGGCACCAGTGATGAGGACTCAGGTCCTAGGCTCATAACAGGGGCACAAAATGCACGCACAAGCATCAGAATTGCCCGAACCACTCGTGCAAGCTTTTCACGCCAAGCTTAGCATTTTTAGAAGGGCCCCAGATGCACCAAGCCCTGGTACTGATAGACCAAGCCCAAGTGAGGGCACACCAGGCCCCAGCAGACCCAACAGAGCACCAAGCCCAAGCAAACTCAGCAGACAGAACTTTTTTTTAAAGGATATGGTGACCCTTAATGGTAGAATACTTCTCTACACAATTTAAACTCTTGATGTATATCTCATGTAATCTCTTTGTAATCTTGGACTTTCTAATAACTATTGGATTGAGTCAATTCTAGCCATTGATTCATGAAGGCTTCAACTATAAATAAAATGTCTTTTATTTGATGTACAGAAACATTTGAATGAATACAAGTTATAGCATTTCCAAACATCCTATGCTTTTAGTTTTTTCTAGCTTTAAAGTATCTTTCAGTGGTCTTTTGAGTGCTCACTCTTCGAGAGTGTTTTTAGGTTGACTTAAGCATACATGGAGGAAGTCTAGCCTAAGGCCACACGAAGCATTGGCATAAGTCCTAGACTCGTGACAATTGGTATCAGAATAGGTTCTACTTCAAGGTCGTATCAGGTTGCACTTAAGGTAGTCGAAAAAATGGCATCTCAAAGTGATGTTGGCAGCCAACAGCTAGAGGTCCAAGTGTCACGCCTTAGGCGAGAGCACCAGGCGTTCAGGCCCTAGCATCAGTGACCAACGCTCGAGCACCAGGAATAGTTGCAGGCGTTTGCGCAATGAGCTTGGTAGAAGAGTCCAAATCGTCTGCACAACCAGGGCCAGGCCCGCATCATGCCCGCACCACACCTAGATGGACCCAGGAGAGTTGGACCAATCTAGAATCTTTCAGGAGTGCCTAAGATCGGCAACACTTAATGCAGGATCTAGTTGACCCTTAAAATCATGAAAAGTCTTATATAATCTGTGCATTAATGTGTAATTTCTTATTTTTAGGGATTATGTAATCCCTTAATTTTAGGAATAGCCATATGGTGTTAGGGCTATAAATAGAGGGCCGCCCTTCTCTCTTTTGTACATCATCAAACTCTTACTTTCAGTAATATATAGATTATATTCCAACATTCTGTTGTGTTCACTTCTAACTTGCGTGTTCTACCTTTCTTTATTGTTGCTTGTCCGCATGCTTCTTTAATAGGCTGAACTTAGGCTAAGGAGTTCATTTCCCAACTTAAGGCTGGGCGAATTCAGGCTTAAGACTGGAGCTCGTGATAGCTAGTATCAGAGTAAGTTATGCTTGTTTATGTGTAGGTTACATCCAAAGCATTGCAAAGATAGCATCCTAGAGTGATGTTGCTAGCCAACAACTAGAGGCTCATGAGTAAGGCTGTAAAAAGGGCAAAAAAGTCAGTTTTAAGATACATCTGGTTTACCATAGATGGACATTTGGCTAAGGTAGAGGTGACAGTGGGCAATGTGAAGAAGAAGCTTGATGAAGTAGAGGCTCACTTTGAGAAATTGGACTCCCGAGAGGAGAAGCTTAAATGTGAGATGCAGGCTACTCTGAATGAGGCCATCAACATATTCTCCTAGAGAAATAAAGCTTTGGAGGCCTTAGTAGAGACCATACGCAAGAAAATCGAGAAGCTCAAGGGGAGCTCACTACTAGCAAGATAAACATTGGAAATGGCATGATCGCTGGAGTGCCAAAGTCTCTTGTAGAGATTTTAAAGCCCAAAAAGTTCAAGGGGACTAGGGCTGCCAAATAAGTGGACAACTTTCTATGAGGATGGAGTAGTACTTTTGAGCCTCTAGCATGCATGATGATGCCACTAAGGTAAACACTACTTCTATGTATCTTACTGATGTTGCCTTGTTATGATGGAGGCATAAGTGTGATGATGTGAGGCACGAAAGTGCCTTGTTTGGGACGTGGGCAGAGTTCTAAAAAGAATCAATGAGCAATTTTACCCTGAGTACACCAATGATGAGGTGTAAGCAAAGTTACGTCAGCTTACTCAGTAAAGGAAGATCAGGGAGTATATATAAAAGTTTTCTAAACTAATGTTTCAGATTTCAGATTGAGCAAGATGGAAGGTCTGTTTGCCTTTATGAATGGGTTTAAGCTGTGGGTGAAGCATGAGCTATAACGAAAGAGAGTTTATAAGTTGGCCAAGGCTATGACCACTGTTGAGTCTTTGGTGGAATTGAAGCTGCAGAACAAGTTTGAGTCTTCCAAACTTAAGGAAAAGAGTAAGGCCAAAAGAGATCGAGATCAATAGCCTAAGAGAGAAGATCGTGACCGACAGTCCAAAGATAGAGACTGAGATCGTTTGAATAAGGATGGCCAGAGAAAGCCACCAACAGAAAAATGAAAGGCAAAAAAAGAATGAAAGTCGCTCTCTTGTTACCTATGTGAATAGCAGCATAAGATTCGAGATTGTCTAAAAAGAGGTAAACTAACTACCATAGTTAAGGAGTAGAACAAGGAGCCAAAGAGGGATACAGCAAAGCTTAGGTTGATTGTATTCAATGTTGTCCAAAGTAAGGGAAACAACAAGCCAAAGAGATAGATGTTCATGGATCTATTGGTTACGGGAAAAAAATGAGCATACTGATGGACATAAATGCTTTGTATTTGTTTATTTCAGGTGATATAGCCCAAAAACTTGGTCTGAAGATGTAGAAAGAGGCTAGTACCATCAAGATGATAAACTCCAAAGAGGTTCTAATCATTAGAGTGGCACATGAATTAGAGCTACAGCTTGAAAATTGGAAGGGTAAGGAGACCATCGAGGTAATACCCTTAGATGATTATGAGTTTGTGATTGGGTTATATTTTTTTGTTCAGATTAATACTCTTTTTGTGTCTTTTGCCAATTATTTATGCATTCTGGATGCACAGTGCCAATGCCTTATATCATTAAGGCATAGAGTGAGGCTTGAAACCAATGTGCTATCGACCATTCAATTTGCCAAGTCAATGAGTAGGGATGAAAATACCTTCTTAGCTACTTTGAAGTATAATGAACTAAGAGAGAAGGAGTTCGTACCCTCTTGAAGATATTAGAGGTGCTAGAGACTTTTAACGATATGATGTTGGTACAGTTGCCTAGTAAGCTACCACCTAAGAGAGAAGTGGACCATAAGATCAAGTTGATGCCCAAGGCCAAGCCACCAACTAAGGCCCCTTATCGATGTTAGCCCCAAAGTTAAAGGAACTGAAAAAGTAGCTTAAGAAGTAATTTGATGCTAGCTACATCAAGCTATCTAAGGCCTCATATGATGCCCTGATTTTGATCCAATGCAAGCATAATGGGTACTTACGGTTGTATATTAACTATAAGGCACTAAACAAGTTGACTGTCAAGAACAAGTATCTTATTCCCCTCATTACGGACTTGTTTGACCAACTTTAAGGCACAATATGGTTCACCAAGTTTGACTTACGATCAGGGTACTACAAGGTCAGGATCATAAAAAAGGATGAGCTAAAAACTGTATGTGTCATCCGCTATGGCTGTTATGAGTTTCTAGTTATGCCATTCAGACTCACCAATGCTCCGACCACATTTTACACTCTTATGAATAAGGTACTTTAGTCGTTCTTTGATCATTTTTTTGTGGTTTATCTTAATGATATTGTGATCTATAATCAAACATTAAAAGAGTATATAAATCACTTGAGATAGGTGTTTCAGGTATTACGGGCACACAAACTGTATGTCAAGAGAGAAAAGTGCTTATTTACCGAATGTGAGGTATCGTTTCTTGGCCACATAGTGGAAGGTGGCAAGATACATATGGATGCTAGCAAGGTCCGTGACATCCTATAGTGGGAACCTCCAGCCAAGGTCATTAAGTTTAGATCATTCATTGGGTTGGTCAATTACTACAAGTGCTTCATCAAAGGCCACTCAGCCGTAGCCACACCATTAATTGATTTACTCAAAAAAGAAAGAGTATAGGAGTGGAACATCAAATGTTAGGAGGCCTTTGATTGGTTGAAGAGGGCAATGATTGAGGAACCAATCTTAACTTTGCCAGACCATGCCAAGCCATATGAGGTTTATATAGACACATCAAACTTTGGAATAGGGGGTGTGTTGATGCAGGAGAACCATTCAGTTATGTTTGAGAACTAAAAGCTCAATGAGACCGAGCACAAATACACGGTTCAAGAAAAAGAGATAACAGTGATGATGCATTATTTGCGCATTTAACGGCATTACCTATTAGGGATAAAGTTTATGGTTAGAATCGATAATGTGACAATTAGCTACTTTTAAATACGAAAAAAATTAACCCTCAAGCAGGCTTACTGGCAAGACTTTCTTACTAAATTTGATTATAAGTTAGAGTACAAGCCTGGACGAGCAAACACGATGGCTAACACTCTGAGCTAAAATACGAGCTTTACCACCATTAGCCAATTAGAGAGGTTCTTGGTATCGTGCATCAGAGAAGGGCTCATGCATGA